AATCCACTTAAATTCTATGTACGTACCCCATTTCCAACATATCAATATATAATATGCGGAAAAATCTGCGAAACATTTTTTTTTATTCCACATGTGTTTAAATAAAAAATTTGCGGAATAAAATTTTAATCTGCCGATCGTACCCGGGTACTTTAAATAGCGTCACTATTCTGGCAATATAAAGTACCCTTTATTATTATATCGTTATACTTTTCAAGAATAAAAATCTTCAAAATCCCTCTCACAGTAATACTCCCTGAAATATGTACCCTTAAAATGATCCAATGATTAGTCATTTGTCATTTGGGTCATTCAGATCATTACCATCACTGCAATCTAAAAAATATGCATCATGTTATGTATAATTAGGGTTCGCATGGGCTGGATTATCCATGGATCATCCATAGATTGGTACCGCATGGGCCGAGCCTGGTCTGGATCCGGATCCAGATCCAAAAGCCTATGAATCGTCCATATTTAATCTGATTGGCCAAAATTATAGATATCATCATCGTTATCTTTATCATTGACGTCAAAATTATGAACTCGAGCATTTTAATAAATAAGCTTTTTTACAGTTTATTGCAATTGGATCCATGTAGTCATGGGCTAGGCTTGGATCTTTCTAATCAAATATGGACTGGGTCTGGACTTCGAAATATCCAACCCACCTGAACCCTACGTATAATATTATACATAATGTTATGTATTGTGTATTTTGCATTGAGACTTTATTAAGATATTTACCGGTTTCACTTTCAGTAGAACTTATTGATAACGAATCGGACAATTTTTGTATGACGACGGTGATAGTAAACTTGAACGTGCTCCTAATTATGATAGATTAGCTATATAACCATTTTCCCTTTCTTGTATGTGAAATATTATTAACAAAATTTATGCTAAATAATTTTATTTATGTCAGCATCAATTTCCTCTTCGTCCTTTCTAAATCGAACAAAATATGAGATCGTAATTAATATTATAATTATATACATTTCTCATCACTTCCACTCATCCTAGTTATCTTCTAGAGTTTTTATTATTGTGCTTAGAACATTCATTTTTATCTCATCTATCGATAAATGCAGATATAATTTGCTTAGATAAAGCAAGGCCTTTTTTGATTTGTCCAAGAACATTCAAATATACTGTATGGTCTAAAAAACCAATTCACGAGATTTTTTACGGCTTCTAAGTCGAATTAGTTTATCATAAAATATCGAAAATCTCGAAATAGTATTATTTTTGAGTTATGACCCGAATTGTTTAATTTGGATCACAACGTTCATGCCCACTACTTTAGTAATTCATTTTTTGGAAACATAAGGTATCAATTAAATAAATTTGTAGTAGTACGTACAAGAAAAACAAAGAATAGACTATGTAACAATTACTCCTGCGTCACCGTTAAAATTTTTTTGTCACGTGAAGGTCTACGTAAAAACTTATCCAATAGCGAGTCTCGCTTCGATGTAACGCTACACGGACATGAATGCATAAATTTTGCATAATAGACCACCATTTGCATTATAACAAAAAAAAAAAATTCCTTGGCCAATTTTACTATATGCCCGTGCTAACGTTTAACTCTATCGTAAGCATTAACCCTAACTTAAACGAGCTTAAAGATTTTTTTTGTGCGCTATTTCACTGTCACGTGATAGAGAATTTTGGATGGTGACGCAGGGGAAGATAACATGTAATGGAAATTATTTTTTAATAACTAAAAATGGTATCGATCATTTAATCTTAACAACTAATTAACAGGGTTTTTGCGTATTACGTAAAGAATAAATAGGATAGTGGTAATTTAATTGGTTAAGCTGTTAACTGACAATTTTTCTTAGTAACTTTGTATAGTATACGGATAAATTAGAAGTTTCATTTTAATATTAACATTGTATTTAAGTGTTACGCTGTCAAATTTACAAATGTCTTGTAATCCAATTATGATAGAATGTAATCATTGATAATTTTTCGCATAAATATTTAAAAAAGCGACGGTTCGAATTTAGGATCAACCTCAATCTCTCTCCGTTCAAAAGGCATTTTTCTTTACAGTGCCCAAAATTCGACAACTTAATAAGTTACCGCCGGCGATAACTTATTTTATTTTTTATATCGTATAAAAAGAAAAAAAAAAATCCAAAATATCTATCATGCATTTATTATTCTATACACTCTTTTTAGTATTCGCAACTGTCGCTTCTGCGTTTCCTTATGGTGCTGGTACTTGCAATTCAGATCAAATGCAAATTGAAGGTGTAGCAAAATCACCTATGGGTAAACTTAATGATAAATTGGGTTACGACTTTAAAGTTTACATGAAGAACAATCAATACATTCCGAAAGGCCCACCAGTTGTTGTTGAGGTTACTGGAGACAAAAAGTTCAGAGGGTTCTTATTATACGCTTTAGCTGCTGATGCAGCTAAAAGTCATGTTGGTGAATGGTGTCCTCCACATGGTTTCAAAATTAAGCCAAATTGTTCCGGCGATCCAAGGGGGACACTCACCCATAGAAGTATGTTTTTTTTTTTTTTTTTTTTTTCTTTTATTGAACCCAAATTATCTTTATTAAAAAAAAAAACTTTGTAAAAAATTAAAAAACCACCAAAAAACAGAACTGGTA